GAGAGCATGGTGCTGACAACACCAAGTCAAGGGTTAAGATCCCCTTACCAGTCATCTTTTGTGTTTAAAAAAAAAAAAAAGAAGTGCTAGCACTCAGTTGGAAACTTTAAAGAAGGTCTGTCTCCATTCAGATAACATTTTCACACTCACTGACAGAAAACCCAGTTTGCATTAGGCACTGCACTATGTGTTTTAGCATATGAAAGTACATGTAGAGTTACCCGATCTCTTACAGGGACGGAGGGGCTGGGGGGAAGGGGGGTGAAAATTGGCAAAGGATATATGTTAGCCAAACAAGGTAAATAAAGGAAATATAAATTTCAGGAAAGAATAAAACAAATCTGGGCTTAAGGGAAAAAAGTTCTGCAAGAAAAAAGATTTGATAAAACACCTAATATAATAAAAAGACTAAAAAATCCTAAGGCTATGATAAAGGTACATTTGTATGAGAAAAAAAGAGGAAAAGAATTTAAAATCCCAGGAAAATCTAAAACCTATACAAAAAAGAAAATTAAAGTACACTAAAATTAGTTCCTTGGTGAATATTTACTTACAGTCATAGTAATATAAACAGTGTCTAGTGATTTTCAACTTTACAATTAACCTACAGAACAACCTGGTGAAGGTAGAGGCATTAGAGGCGAAAAAAGCCAATCTGAAAAGATTACATACTAAATGATTCTATTTATATAACAAAGTCTAAATAACACTATCAGGGTTAAGAGAGAAGTTCACTACTAACGGTTAACACAAGGGAGTCTCTTGTGGTGATGAAATGGTATGTATCCTGATGCGGAGCTGGGTACTCAAACCTACAAAAACATGATGAAATTTCATAAAACTATACACCATGTAAAAACTGGTAAAATCCAAACAAAGTCTGTACCTCAGCTAATAAAACTGTGCCAACATCAATTTCCTGCATTTGACAATGTGCTAGGGTTGCATAAGATATTATCATTCAGGAACACTGAGTTAAGGGTAGGTACCTCTGTACTATTTTTGCAAATTCTTTTGAATAGTAAACTATTTCAAGGTAAA